GTGTGTGTGTGTGTGAGTGTGTGTGTGTGTGTGTGTGTGTGTGTGTGTGTGTGTGTGTGTGTGTGTGTGTGTGTGTGTGTGAGTGTGTGTGTGTGTGTGTGTGTGTGTGTGTGTGTGTGTGTGTGTGTGTGTGTGTGTGTTTGAGTGAGTGTGTGTGTGTTCAGGAGATGCGGCGGTGGGGAAGAGCTCACTGTGTCAGATGTTCCGCAGTGACGGCGCTGTCTTTCAGAAGAACTACACCATGGTAAGAACAACACACACAGAATCACTGAATAGAGTTACTGAGATCAACTGAATAGAGATGATAGGTGTATTGTAGAGCAGAGGTTTGCAGACTGGGGCCCGGGGACCCAAAGGGGCCACAAGAGAGTAACACAGGGTCCATGGAAAAGTTTCGACAAAAACAATAAATGTAAAAAAAAAAAAGTTGAATAAATAAACGAGAGAGAGAGAGACACAGGTGCAGATCACGGCGCATCCACCACATCAGTGTCACCTTTAGTGTTGCAAATGACTGACTGATTTGGTCAGAACTGAACTGTGTGTGTTTTGGAGAATGTTGGTGTGGAGCTGCTGGAGAAATCAGTGTCCATCCCAGACACCGGTGATGCTGTGGTACACACAGACACACACTCACACACACACACACATCATACCTGCTGATTGATTGATTGGTGTGTGTTTTGTCTCTATCAGGAGCTCTATAGCTATGATTCAGCTGGAATTTGCAGATTTGCAGATGCCTGTGAGAACATGCTGAGTTTAATCAAAACAACCCAAACACACTCAGTGTGGCCCTGATGTGTGTGTGTGTGTGTGTGTGTGTGTGTGTGTGTCAGTGGAATCAGCCGTCACTCATGTGTGTGGTGTTTGACATCACCAGCGAAGCCTCGTTCACCAGCTGCAGCCGCTGGATCGACAGGATCAGATCACACTGCAACGGGCTGCAGGTGCCAGGTCAGAGGTCACGGTCTCACACACAGTCACTCACTCACTCACACACATGCACACGCACACAAACTCACACACACACACACACTCACACACACACACACACACACACACTCAGTGTCTGTCTTCATCCTGCAGCAGAGTCTGTGATGCTGCTGAAAAACCAGCCTGAGCGTGTTTGTTGGTCTAATCTGGTCTAGTCTAGCAACTATTTTTGAGGATGGTTTGAACAAACACATGCAAATGAGTCCGGCTCTTATTATCCATGATGATTTTATTGACTTCTGATTTGCTCTTTTGTTTTTTGCGTCTTCTTGAATCAAGAAGTCTATGTGTGGCTTATTAACAATGTTCATATATTCATGTATGTATCTTTTCATATATATTTATATAGTCATGTATCATTAATATGTTTATAATGACATATAAATCGCGGCCAGTTAGTGGGATCGTTTTCTATTCCCTGGGTTCACAGCGGCCACGAAGATTCACAGTATTTATGCGCAACAAAATGAAACAAACATGAAGAAAAGAGATTTCAAGAGCTCTGTCCAAACGCTGTCGCTCCGATTCCTCACGCGGTTGAAAACGTGTTAGTTTACGGAAGATAAGAAAATCATGCATTTCACGTTTCTTTTTTGAGACTCGGAACATGTAAACTCGTCGTCATCATCAGATCATCATCACCTGCAGGGGGCGCTGTGTCTCATACAGGTGTGGTGCGACGATTGGCGTCCTTGGAGTCTTTCTGGATGCAGTTGTGCACCTGTAGGAAGTCCGGCTCTCTCTCGGAGTCGTACATCGGTGGCGTGCCGTGTGGAGTCTTCAGCGCGTACATGGAGATATCGGTGGAGGGCAGTGCTCCGAACGCCTTGAGTCCCACGGGTGAAGCGTCGCGCGAGTGCGAGGGCTCGGTGGAGCGGCTGGAGGAGCGCGAGCTGTGCCGGTAACGGTAGCGGTAGCTGGGGATTCTGCTGATGGCGGATCCCTGCAGATAGTCTCCTCCTCCGCCGGTCCGAGCGCGAGCCACGCGTAGCTCCCGGTGCCGGTCGATGAACATGTGAACGGCCAGAACGCCCACCATCTCCGCCATGATGAAGGACAGCGCGCTGAAGTAAAAGCTCCAGCCGTACGAGTAGCTGTTCTTCTTCGAGTCGCTCTTGGACGGGTCGCCTGCGTTGGCTGATATGTAAACGATTATCCCGATGATGTTACTCAGACCTGAGGATCGACACACACACACACAGAGAACATCAATCACACACTGTAAAAAAAAATCCGGTAAAATTTACGGTAAAAAAACAGCACCAGAATTTTACTGTAAAAAAAATACGGTAGCAACATTTGAGGTTTTACGGATTTAAATACCGTAATTTCATTAACTGATATATTGTTACAGTTTTTTAAAAACTGCTTACGATCCTCATTCACGAACAATACAAGGGTGACTATTTTTTTCAGGACCATGTAATCTTTTCGAATCATGTCCATGAATGTCAAGTTTTTCGGTCAAAAATGACCCAACAGCACCAGAGGGTTAACAGACATGTTCCTCTTCTTCAAGTGCAGCATTTGGAAAAAGAGCTGATTTACGTTATGATTTAACTCACACTGAGCTCAAAATGACCAAATTACTTTCTTAGACTTTCATCATTTCTGCATAAATCAGGTCTGAGCGATGGCAAGCATCAGTGCTCATGAGTGTATTTAAGCATTACAAAAATACATTGTATTTACACCATGCCGATACATGTTATCCTAGCATAACCTGATCAATCACAAACTTGTGAAGTCATTTTCCATCAAATGTGTTTATTTGTTTTCAGGTTTAAGTTATGTTTAATGTGACCTTACTCTGTGTGAATGTTGTAGTTTGTGTGTTAGTCTCATTCTAATGTGTGCCGAATGTTTAGGACTCTGTATGCCGAGTTGAAAATCTCAGAAATGTATAGCACTCGCACACATACTGTACATGCTGTATAGACAGTCATAAATGGCAGTGTTTCTCAAATGAAACAAAAGAGCTGTTAGTTTCGAATGATGTGTGTAATGTAGAGAACTGTGTTGCAAAGAGTTTAAAGCATGCCATGTGCTTGTAGTTTTGCAGACTTGCTCTAAAGATTCGGTGTTTGAGTGAATGGTTCCACTAAGTGGGCCTCAAGTATCTCTGTTAGTGTCTAAGCGATTTTAAAACACTGTAAAGCTGGTGAAGCGCGCGGATCACCTGCGGATACGAAGAAGATTCCCGCGCTGAGGATGATGTTGTGTCGAGTCTTGTCGAACTCACTGGCGGCGACACAGAGGCCACCCATGAACAGCAGGATGACACTGAGGATGGGGAAAATACTGGAGGCACGAACCGCACCTGAAACACACACACACACACACACACACAGTCATGAGACGTCTGATCCACGTCACAGTGTGTTCTGAGCAGGACCTGCCCACTAACAGTCAATCAAATCCATTAATCAGATTAGAGTCCTGGAATCACTGTGAGTCCTCAGGATACACAGGGTTACTCTCATTAACCAAAATGATTAATAAAAACTTATTTTTCAACTGCTCACACACACATTTTCAAAACTTTGGATTCAGAACTGGACACAAATCCAAGAATGGCACACAAAATGCCAAATGTCTCGCATCTCTTGCAAAACGAAGCACTGCATTTAAAATATCACAAACACATCTCAAAAGCAAACATTTGTTTTATGTTGCAAACACCTTTGCCGTCATATTATATTTTTGGATATATCATACACACAGTTATTCAAAACCTAAAGCTCTTCTTTCATGAGCTCCTGTCAACATTTCTGAACAAGACTGAAAGTAATCTGCAGAGATGCTGAAAAATTCACGGAAAACACGAACGCAAGATTGAAAGAAACTATTTTTACTGTAAGCATCTGTGGTTGTGAATACAGTACTACACAGAACCAAAGACTTATTTATTGATTGGCTGGTGTTGAGTGAAGCACACGTGAGGAGTTAGTGATGAATTAATGTGGCGTTTTGATTAGTTGTGTTTGAAAGTGAAATCAAGAGAGATGTTTGTGTGTGTTACAGAGAGAACTGTGTGTTGTGTTGTGCAAAAAGTGTTTTATGAAAATGAAAACTGAGTCAAAGGCTGAGAATTAGTGTGTTTGAGTGTCAGCTTTCAGAGATTGCGTGACGAGTAAAGATTTTGTGTGTAAGCAGATGAAAAAAACTGTAATTGAAATATATAGCTAACATACAATACAATATAAAAATGATAAATGTTACCATGACAACTATCTGTAATAAGTTTAAATTAAAGCAATAAATTACTGACTAGAAATAAATTAACTACTGTACAACACTTTACTTAAAGCCTTTATATATAATGCATTATAAAGGGTTATTAAAAGGTATAATGCATTACAATTATTCATAATGTGCATTGTAATACATTATATCTTGTAAATAATTATAACTACATTTAAAATGCAGTATAAAAGTGTAACAATGAATTGATAACTGTTATGATGTATTAACTGGGGTTACAATTATTCATGAGATTGTACAATGCGTTATAATTAATGCATTAAAACTACTTTTATAATGTATTATGCATAAAGGCTTTAAACAAAGTGTTAACTAAAAGTAAATGATTAAATCAATTTAAAAATAATCAATTGACCTGAATAGTAATATTACAAATAAAATTGGAACCCAGTTAAAATGACTAAAGCACATAATGAAATTGCTAAACATGGAACACATTAAAATGAAAACGAAAAATATAATACTAAAAGCTCATTCAAATGTAAATAAGAACTATGATAGTATATAAATAATGGTAAATTAACACTGAAGACATGTGAAGAATCAAACATGACCAACACTTGCTCTGATTTAATTATGATCTAAAGCACATAACAAAATGACTAAAGCCTAAATAAACTTAAGTTCACTCACACACACACACACACACACACACACACACACACACACACTCACAC